AGGACGTCTTGAAGCGCTTTACGGGAATTACAACAAGTACACAGTCTCTACAATTCACAGCAAATCCTGTGACACGCTTTGAGACTCAATAAGGCAGCGTGGCAAGTGCCAGGATTATTATGATCAATGTACTCTGCCCCGATAAGACTGTTTCAACGCCAGCAGCCGTCTGATACTCCACCCGAGCCATCACGCCACATTTTCCAAGGGAGGTAGCTACGGATATTAAGTCACTAAATATAAACCTTGGTGATGATTCACCAATGACTGTCACAGGAAAATCAGAAGTGTTGCTGGCAGGTGGTGGAGACAGTGAGAGTTGATACTGTGCAGTGGAGTGTTTCTTTCTATTCCCCATTGGGTAAGGAAGCTCCTAATCTCAGGCTAATGGTCGTGGGGCGGTGGGGGGGGGGAGGGGGGGGGGGGAGTGTGGGGGGAGATAGGCACAGTTCGTGTGGGGAGGGGGCTGGTGCTGCTGGGGAGAAGAGCAGTATTGACTGGAGACTGAAAGCAGATTCGCCTGAGCACTCCCACAAAGTGGTAACGGAAAAAAAAAAGGGCCCCCGAGAAAGGGACATCAAATGTTGCAACTCCCCCCCACCCCCCCCAAAAAAAACATGCGCCACAACGGCTCCAGCGAAAACTGCCAAATTCCACGACCACGTGAACAGCGGCCATCAGCTCCGATTAAGCCAAGAAAGTAGGAACAAAGGACATAAATGGAAGTTTGCGAGAAGAAAATTTAGAACAGATGTCAGGGAAAATGTCTTTTACTCAAAACAAAGCCAGAATAATCTGCCAAAGCGATTAGAACGGAAGCGAGAGAAAAAAAAGTTTATTCAAAATAAAAGTTAAGACGTTACCGCAGGGAGTGTTAATGTACTGGAGGGAAGGAACTTCACTTGGACGAATGAGACCCCCTCTTGTTTTCGTACCTGACTTTTCTTAAGTTATTTTGGCACAGACGGGTTATAATCAGGATTTTAATGAGCTCAATTCGTACGAACCCCCACTCCACCCCAAAAAACATAGATCCAATGGTAGACACTTGTCGTAACTAAATGTGAAAGCACTGACCATTAAAGCTGGCTCAACGCTGGTTGATCATCCTCATGTATCTGAACTGAGCCTGGATTAAATGGGTCTCGAAAGAGGGGTGTGTGTGTGTGTGTGTGTGTGCGCGCACACTCGGGGGGTGGGGGGGGTTATTGTTATTCAATTGTTTGCATTAAAGTAATAATCTTTGAGTTTGACAGAGCCACCCAGTCAAAACATCTCAAAGTGCTCCACAGGATTTGCTGTAAAGTGCAATGGCTCCCTCCGTGTTTGGTTACAAGTCCTTCACAGTTTCTACAGAAGGGGAAGCGCTGTTGCTGCCGTCCTGATTTGGAGCTGCGAAACACAGCCACATGTAAGCCCGGCTGTGTGCTCTTCACCATTTCCTTCTCTGACGGTGCAAATAATAATAATCCTGGCATTTGATATAGCGCTTTTTATGACTTTGAGACCTTCTCAGAATATCGTGTAAAGTGAATTGACCCGTGTATTTTGTCGGCGAAACGCGGCAGCCGATTGCGCACAGCAGCGTCCCCCGCAAACAGTCGAGGATTGGAGTGACCAAATTATTATTGTTTTTTTTCTTGAAGGATTATTATCAGGCGTGTGGAGTAAGGAAACTTGCCCAAGGTTTCGCCCCCTGCCGGGAATCAAACCCGGGTCTCTCGCTTGCGAGGCGAGCGCCTCTAACCACTGAGCCACTGAGTCTATTCTGCGAAGCGCTGTTGAGACGCCGAGAAAGACGTGAAAAGCGCTATATCAAATGCAGGGATTATTATTATTATTATAGGACTCCAAATGATCTGTTATGAATTAGTTATGAAATTTGTTTGACTCAACCAACTAATTTGCTGCTCTCGTATGTAAGCGTGCTGAAACCTGACAAATAGCCACCTCGAGCCAACATTGCAGCCGCCCATTACCAGAAAAAGGGAAGCTGCAAAAAGCTTTCCGACATTTTTCACCTCCCAAAGACTTAGAACAAATCCCATGTCCTTTACGGACTGCGAGAACCACGTCAAAATCAGACCATCTTCTGGCAGGAGACATCCATCCGTGGAAAGAGTGCGCATTCCGTTGCAGATGCGGGGATAATTCCCAATGTGCGGGTGCCATAGATACAGTAAGTGGAGCTCTCACCCTGTTTTGGATACTCTTGAGCCGGATAATAATAACGATGATAATCTTTGCATCCTGATAGAACGCCTTAAAGCGCTTTGAGACGCCTCGAAGACGTGATAAGGCGCTCTACTGAATGCAAGGATTATTATTGTTATTATTATTGTCACGTCTTTGAGACGTCTCAAAGCGCTTAACAGAATTACACAGTGAAGGGAATTTACTGCATATTTAGTGGGCGAAACGCGGCAGCCAATTTGCGCACAGCAGCGTCCCCACAAACAGTCGTGGAATTGAGTGACCAAATTATTATTGTTATTCTTTCCCCCGGCCGATCCAAAAAAAATCTTCACCTCGGCTGCCAGGAAAGCATTATCCAATCTGTGTGTGAAGCCCTGAGGCTAACGATTAAAAAAAAAAAAATCGTCATTCTGAGGACTTGGGAGCACAGATCGCTTAATGATGAGTAAACGCTGCTGGGTAAAGGGTGCGTGGGTGGAGCGTTAGGTGGGGAAAGAGGGTAAGAACATTATTTTGCCGCTTTTCTAACCAGCCAATTAACCAATGAGCACGATCAGAAGATCAATGAATGCTTTCCCACCTTCTGCTGAAGGAAACAAACCTGGCCGACCTGCCGCGCTCAGCCCTAATCGGTTGCATTCCGGAGACAACATTCCCACGGTCCCATAAGGATTGCAGCAGGGAGGAATTTCATCACTGCTGCCCATACTTGTTCCTGTAACCCGCAACCTTCCCTTCGTAAGCCGAGCGAGTCAAAACCTCTTTCAAAAGCAGCCATTCGATCTCTGTATGCATCACCCAGGCTGGGGGCGGGGCGGGGGTCAGGGCACCCCACCGGGCCCCTCTGGGGATGATATAACTTGGACCCAGCAACCAAGACTTGTCTACGTTGCCACTCAAGTTCTTGGTAGCACGTGTCTAACTAACCTCCTCTCCAGCGAAGGGCATCACAGTGAAAAGCGCTATATCAAATGCAAGGATTATTATTATTATTATTTCTTTGCTCAATGGGGTGGGATGTAAGATGTGATTTTTGTCCAGTCTTCCTGCCCTCTCGCTTTCAGAATCCGCACTGATGAATGCAGTTGATCAGCGGCACTTTGTCGAGTTAAAACCTCGGCAGTTTATTGCAGGCGGCGGGGGCGGGTGGGGGTGCAAGAGAAGGATCGGAGGGATTCTACCATCTGAGGCAGCGATTCTTAATTTTTTTTTAAAATATACCAACACGCACGAGAGTCGCTCATAAAAGTTATGAAAATCCTCTCTCCGTCTCTTCCCCCTTCCCCAACCAATCGTAGACACTGGTCAGACACAGAGAGTATGAAGGCCTAACCTCACAAGTACTACGCCGGATAAATACAGATGACGGTCCCCCCAAAAATAAATCATTTCAAACAACCGCGAACGCAATGAATTCAATTTCTAAAGGCGTCTGTTCATTACATTTACACCTAAAGGGAAATAATGAAAGAAAGCCACAAGAGGGGGCACTTTCTACTTTTTTTTTTGGGGGGGGGGGCGTCAGAAAAGGAAGAAACCATACGGTCCTGATCGTCTCTTAATAAAAATAAATACATAGCCCCCACATTCGAGGCAGCACCTCTCACAACCGATAAGACACCTCAGAGCGATTCACAGGCTGCCTCGCAAAGTGTAGCGACTGCGTGTATTGTAGGTGAACATGTAGTGACTGTGCGTCGTTGTCTGCACAGGACCCAATTTGGACGCCACGAGGCAGGCTTGAAGTGATTATTGATGGACGGGACTGAAGTCCAGTTTCTTTGCTATGAGAAGCGACTGTGAGTCGAGGCTGCAAGTCCTTCTCCTCCCAATTCTGCTAAAAGGAGTAAGTCACTCTGCTCCTCGGCCTTTGTAAACAGCCGAATCAAAGGCCACGTTGGGACTTTACGAGATCAGACCGGGCTTGAGGAGCACTGCCCGCTCTGCAGACCTCTGGATGAGACATTAACCTGAGGATTTCTCCAGATCCCCAGGGCCAAGAATGCCAGACTGTGGTCCAGGGTTCGTTATCACCTCCAATTGAGTACAAGGCAGAAATAATAATCCTTGCATTTGATATAGCGCTGTTCACGTCGGGAGGACGTCCCAAAGGGCTTCACAGAACACACTGTAAAGTGAATTGACTGTATATTTGTGGGCGAACGCGGCAGCCAATGTCCCACAAACAGTCATGGATTGAAAATGACCAATTTATTATTGTTTTGGAGGGATTATTATTAGGCGTTATTATTAGAAAACCTAAACATCTTCCACGCCTGCGCTGGTTGAGGAACGAGAGCCCTGTAAGCTCAGCGGTTCGAGCCCTCGCCTCGCCAGCGAGAGACCCACGATAATGAGAATCCGTCTCATATCAACCGCCAAGGAACGGACAAAACCCACCCTGCCCCGAGCAAGGAGACTTCAAACGCAGCCAAGATCTGTGCTTTTACATCAAGTCTCCACCACCGATATATCAACGTGTGCTTGGAGTAGACATAAAAACAGTAAAAAAAAATTTAATCAAGGTGAAAGTAAAATTCAAGGCTACATTTGTCCTTTACGAACAAATAAACATTTACAGACGGTCACAGCACAATTCGGAAGCTTAGCTCGAGAGACTCGATGCTGGAAGAAAAAAAAAAACTGGGTGAAATCTTACAATACCATCGCATGTGAAAAGATTACCGGGTGAAATTTGCGACTTTCTTTTTTTTTTTAAGTGTTCTTTATAATAATGCGCGATAAAACACGCCAGCGTTAAGCGACACAATGACAGAATTTATATATTTTTTTAAGAGGGCGGGCGGGCGGGGGGGATATTTTTAAAAATGAAGGAAGCATTATTGCGTAGTGTAACCCGTGCAACTAAATGTTCGCACGTCAAGGTTTGTCCTAGCGAAGAGGACGAAGACTGCACTCTTTCCAGCCAAACACCCTCTCGCCCACCACCCACCCCCACCTCCCCAATTATCTCAGAGGTCACAACGAGATGGCAAATCTCACTCCGAACAGAGAAAGGCCCCTGCGATCTGATCCCGATGCCTGGCTCAGTCCCACTTCTTCGCCGAATCCAAATTACATAACGCCATTAATGTACCCGAACATCCTGACAGCTGAGCGAGTTACCACAACATTCACTTTATGTCGAGACAATAACAAGCGACAGCTACAATAATTCGGTGGCTTTGCTCTCGTGTTAATTCGGCGACTGCTGGAATCATTAGGGCGACTGGAACCTGATCTACGTTTACCAACCCCCTGCCGTGGCCAATCAGTCATTCTGGAATGAATTCTCGGGGTTTAATCTGCAGTGGTTCCTACTGAGGAATCCCGTTCAATTTCCGTCGACCCGCGGGAATCGTGTTGTTTCGGGAAGTAGATGGCAGGGGACGCGCCTCGCTTACCAGGAGTTCCATTTGCATCACGGATTCCTCATTAAGAAATCCAGTTGAGAAATACCGCAAATTAAACCCCAGTTATGTAAACAGGAAATTGGATCTTCGCACCCGTCCCTGTGACGACAGGGAGTCTTTTTAAGTTTGTGTGTGTGTGTTTTTTTTTTCTTCGAAGTTCAAGTTGAGATGCGAAATAAATTAGTCCTAAGCTGCGGAAATTTGGAGACGGAAAAAAAACAAAGCTGACTGGTTCAACGCGTGGTTAAAAAGTCGAACTTTTTTATACTACGACAGACGAAAGCAGCTTAAAAGTCCATTAGTGGAGCGTCTATTTACAGTTTATACATGGATGTGGTCTGAGGTTTCAATGTAGGATCTTCTTTATGTTCAGACGTTCAGAAGCAAACTGCTGTACGTCGAAAAGAACTGGGGCTTGAGCACTCAAAGCCTTTGGTTACTGCATCATAAACATTTCATCCTCAGGACTCGTTCCTCCTTCACTCCCATTGCTCTAGCAGTCGGTTTCGAGTAGTTGTTCTTGTGTAATATTTTTCGATGCGCAGAAAGGCTTTGCCTCCTCCTTGGCTTCCTCCCCCACCTCGTACTTGGATCAACCAGCACAGCTCAGGCCCAGCTTTTGAACAGTCGGCTGAAATTGGAATAGGAGGCTCAGAGGCAGGTGCGGAGGACGAAGGAAGCATTGAATAATATTTTAAAGAAGTTCAAAATGAGCCCTATTTTTTTTAAAAAAAGAAAAAAAAACCAGTTCATCAGGTTTCACTGGAGCCAACGTCATCATCAGAGACCGACAGCGAAGACAAGACCCGCTTGATTTCTGTGCAGCAACGAATGCGGGCACACAACAGAGCAAAGGGCTCACAGCGGCGACGTGGGAGAACGATCTCTGCGTTGACGTCAGTTACGCCGCTCGCTCGTCGTTCAACTTCCTCTGAAAGTACGAGGAGATCTTGCGCATCGACGGCTGTAAGACCACAGAAAGGGAATTGGCTTTTTTTTATTTTAAAAGAAAAAAGTGCAACATGAAAGTGGACTCCTTGCTGCACCCGCAAATATGCTGACTTGGGAACAGACACAACGCACTAAAAACAGCACCACCAGGATTTAGTTGCTTGGTTTTTTTTCTCTCTCCCCCACACCAGAGTTCCACCTGTGTACGCCACCTACACTGCCCCGCCTTGAACAGAATGTGCTGAGAATATTAGGTGGGGGGGGGGGCCCCCCCAAGAGCCAACGCTCGGGGACCCCAGAGCATGCATTGGGTGGTGGTGGGGGGGTGTACCGCGGGAGTTCAATCAGCTGAAACTGCCCAGCTTGCCATCGAGAGCAACGCAGGGCGCGCTTTCCTGACGCTTGTCCAGCGCGGACCAGTATCGGTTCACGCGCAGGGTTAACAGGGAGCGAGCGGCACGAGCCCCTGCCACCAGTGACCCTAACTGGCTCCCAAATAAGAGGCGGAAGTTCACGTATTTGCCAGAATTCTGCACCAACTTATTGTAAGAACCAACAAGTCTCGCAGGTTAAAAACCAGGCACCGCGTCTGACCTGCAAGACTTTTTTTTTTTTCCCCCGTGTGCTAATAATAAGAACCTGAAAGCAAGCGCGGCTCTGGGTGCAGAGATGCAGAACTCTCCTCAGTTACCAGGGACTTCACAACAACAACAACATGCATTCAGATAGCGTCACTTACACCAATATAAATGCCGGTTCCCAATCTCTATTCCTGTCACTACTGTGTCTTACTCGCTCCCCACGTGGACAGAGAGGACATTTCCAAATAGAAACAGCGCGATCAACCTCTTTCTTAACTATGGAGGTTCACGTCTGTTGATATTTTCAAACGGCAAATGTGAACCAGAGCCAAGAGCTGACACGGAGGGGAGGTCAAGTGTGTGTGGGAACCAGCGGAGATAGTTGCTGCTTCTTCCCCTGGATGAGGGATTTTTTTATATATAAAGCTGAAGAGGCTAAACTGGAAATAGCCCACGGTGAAGCCCGACCAGCCTGCGATATGTGCCAATTGCTCAAAGACCTCACAGGAATTTTCCAAAGGGTCGTGGAAATCTGGAACCCTCTCCTCCCCCAAAGGCCTGCGATTTCTGGATCCATTCAACTTTTCAAGGCCGAGGTGGCGAGATGTTTGTTGGGTCAGGGTATCAAGGGCGGGTAACTGGAGCCGAGGTACAGATCAGCCGTGAATGGCGGATCAAGCTCGAGGGTTCCTATGAGCGACCACGCAAGGAACAGTCACTTTGGCTCGGATACCCTGAAGTATAGCGATGGGTGTCTGTCTGCAAACACCCACCCCTGCCCTCCCCCCAAAAAAACAATAGGGTTAAGGATATGTATCGTGTTCTGTGGGCAGCACGCGGCAATATTACACTCGAAACAAGAGGCCACGAGTTGTGCTCACGAGCACAAGCCTGGTGCTGGAGGCAGACCGAACGCACAGCTAACACCTCTCCCTCTCCCCGGCAAAATCCATTAACATCCCAATCGTCATTCCTCCAGCGACGCCAAAAAAAAAACCCACTCCGAATCTCGAAAACCCACTCATTACCGCCAGCCCCGGAGCGAAACAGCACGACGATCCCTGCCGGTAACTTACCGGTGAGCCCCCGGCACTCCTCTCCTCCTGTCTCCTCCCGGGCGGGCTCTGCGAGGCGGGGGGGCTGCTGGACAACCTCCCGGCCCGGTTGCCCACGTCCACCCTCTGCTTCTCCCCCAGGGCCGCCAGCCAGTTGGACTTGTGGGGCCAGCTGTTCTCTTTGTCCGGCGACTCGGGCCCGGGCTTGTGCTGCTGGAGCTTGGTGGCGGAGGAGGACAGGAGGGGGGATCCCGGACCTGGGTCAGTGGAAGGGGAGCAGCCTCCGTCGCCGGAGGGCACGGGACGCCTCGACCCCGCCTCCCCCTCGCCCTCGGAGTGAGAGCTCCTCCCACGAGCCTCCGGCTTGGACCGCTTGAGAACGGGCCCAGCTTCTCCCGCTCCGCGATCCGCAGCCGAGTCCCCCCCGCCGGCCTCCAGCCTCCTCTTAGCCTTCCTGTCGGGGATGGGGTCGGCCGCGCCACTCCTCGCCCGGCTCTGCCCAACCGGGCCCAGCACCGTCCTGGCGGAGTGGGGACCAAGTGGCCCGGGGGGAGGGCTGCGGGCCCGGGGTCTCTGAATCACCCACGTCTTGATGGACGGGGCGGGCTGCGAGAAGGCCGGGCCGGAGCGAGGGGACACGCAATCCCCGGCGAAGCGAGCCGGAGAGGCGGAGGCTGAAGTGTTGGACGCCAGGGGCAGATCTCCGCCGTGGCTGGGGACGCACGCCGCCGGCCTGGGGGACGACAGGGAGGGGGACGGCGTCTTGGGTGCCCTGGGAGGGGTTCGGTGAACGGGTCCCTCCGCAGCTTCTGCTCGGAAACAAACAAGGAAACGCAAGGATTATTGGCGTACGTCAAGGAGCTGACTCGCCAACCCTATAACTGACGCGCTGTGCCTTACAATCGGCGCGGGCGAAACCGGCTTCACCGGTCCCCCCCCTACAAGACTCAGCGAACACGGCCTCGGCCTTTTGAGACGACTTGACCTCCTGACTTGAAAGGCGCTGTTATCGGAGGCAAAGATTCTCTTCTTGTTAAAAAAATATGAAACAGATTTACATCTACAAACTGCGGACGCTCTGACCAGAGCCCCCCCCCCCCCCACCCACTGCCCCACTTCACCTTTCTCCAGCTGCTTCTTTCGACTTGCAGAGCCCACCAGATCCCAGCCGCGCGAGGCCACTTCCAAACCGTCCGTCCCTCGATCGAGACGCCAGATTCGAACAGTGTTATCATCGGAGCAAGTGGCGATCTACAGTCGGGGCAGGAAGGCAAAATCCAGGTGAGGCCGTGGGTCTGGGGCTGAGTGGTGAGACACATGAGTGGATGGGGGGGTGGTGGTGGGGGTGGGGGGGCAGCACGGGAAGAAAAGAGGGTGGGTTGTTGGGTATGTGCTCTTTGGGAAGAAATCTAAATTCATTTACAAGTCCGACGTGTCCGACCGGGTACGTTTATTACAAGCAGAGCTCGTTGTTCCAGAACGCTTTGCAAAATGCAAGTGGTTGTCGTCGAAATCTTTTCTCTCGAACATCCACTTCATTGCTCAGCAAAGAAAGAAAAGAAGGTAATTGCTCACAACCCCCCAGAACAATCACACAGCCACAATTACTCTCCCAGAAAGACGATCGTATCAAGTGCAGAACAGAATCCCCGCCTCCCACCCCCCACCTTCTCCGGGCACGGTTCAAGTTTACTTAGAGGAGGTTACTTCACTGGTGCGTGTAAAGAGCTTCATGTCAGAAGGGGACAATGAATGAATGATGGGTTGCTCACAAGCAAATGAAACGAGTCACTTTCCGATCCTGACTGTACACCTCCAGGTGTTCCTCCTGAACACCCTCTAATGGGTGAACAGTGAACTGCCCCCAACTCAATCACTCCCCTCGTTGCCGGCAAGTTACGATTGCCGCTGAATTTACCGTCTCGCGCTCCAATCGTGCTCTGGAGGGGACTTTCACAAGAAGCGATTCGCTGCTCTCAGATATGCCAATCTTCGCTTTGCCGGAGAGAAAGAGAAACAACCGCAAAGAGGTGCAGTGTAACCGCCCCCCACCCCACCCCCGGTTATAACGTGCTTCACTGCAACACAAAATTGCTTATATATCTGTATCTTAAGACCCCATGCATAGCCGACAGATTGCTGACCACCTCACTTCCTGCTTTACAGACGTGCAACGAGCCCGGAAGTGAGGTCGCGGCGATCCGGTGACCGGGAAGCCTTCCGTTTATCCTTCCGGCACAGGCACGGTCAAACCCACCCAATCCCACCTCTTGATTCAGCGGATCCCACAGACTGCTTTCGGGTCGATCACACTGAAACCGAATAACCAGCCTGTCCCTTCCGCAGCGGGCGCCGTCAGCCCGAAACAGCGGAGTTGTTCAACACGCAACAGAAACCAGTCCTCTCTGTCCCCGCAGTCTGGACCTCGACACAGGCCACGGACACTGACCTTTGTGAAGTCGGAAGGACACCAGGTCACGGAGGTCACCTCTTGTGAGTGCCCCTGGAGCACCGTCGGAGGTTGGCGCGGATTGCTGACCTGAAACAAGAGAATCGCTGGGAATAAACGGGACCGTAAAAAAAAAAAAATCAAGGCAAAGCTTTCAGGAGGCAAAACGGTGGGTCGACCAGTGTAGTGCGGGCTGCACGCCGAGTTTCACCCGCAAATTATACAGTCGTTTAACTTTGCAGCGGATTCCGCGAAGCATTTTGAAACATCTATGAGCCATACCAACCTTCAGCCTCTGCGTCCCCACCCTTTGGAACTTCATCCCACAGTCCCTTCGCCTCGCTCCCTCCCTCGTCTCCTTCAAGGGCCGTCTCAAGACCCTTCTCTTCGACCGTGCCTTTGGTCACCTCCTGCCCCCCCCCCCATCCAACCCCCCACGCTCGGGTCAAAATCACTGACCATCCAACGCCTTGGGTCGTCCTCCCGACGTGAAGGGCGCGATACAAATGTAACTCCCAACAGCCCAGTTCTATCTGCAGCGGCAAACACTCACCTTCCAGATGTAGGCGTTATTGTCACTGGAGCCGCTGAGGAGGAACTGACCATCTGGACTAAGACTGGACTTGACATAGAAGGTGGAGTTCTGATGACCACTGAATGTCGCCACTGTGTGAGACACAAGCAGATCGGTTTTGTGAATGGCATCAGGACGGGGGCACAGGTTTGGTTTGTTTGTGTGTGTTTTTTTTTTGCTGCTGCAGCAACATCTCAAGAGTCTCTACTTTTTAGATCTCACGAGTAACGTCAGCGTGAAAATGTGCGCACAGAACAGGCCGCTCCGGTAAAATTGCTTTGTCGCTCATTCTTGTTCCCCCATCAATTCACCCTCTGCATCGATCACTCCCTCACACACGTTCCCAAAGCCTTGACCAAGGGCAAGACGCAGGATCCAACCACGAGCTACTTGAGAAGTACCTCCAGGAGCAAACCCTAAGCCAGGTCATCGTGTGAACTCCCTCTAGGGCACAGTGGGGAAGCGGATTAAAATCACAGACCTATTCTAGATCACACCAAACTGAGCCCCCGAGTCTGCAGACAGTTTACCTGGAGCATTTCGCAGTCCAGTCAGATTGAACATGTAAATGTTATCGTCCGTGCAGTTGGCAAAAAGGTTGGAGCCCGTCGAGTCCAGGATGAGGTTGGAGTACCCTGAAAGACAGAAAATTGGGGGAAAAGTTTCAGCTCGTCCCAACGCATTTCACAACTAACCGGTTGTGAAAAATGGCCCACGTTTACCTACAGAACAGCGACCACACGAGACAGTATTTACTGCAAAGCATTTCGATTGTTTCAACATTACGTGTGTGGGGGAGCTATAAAAATGCAAGCTCTTTCTTGTAAAGCTGAACTGTATAATAATACAACCTTTGCATTTGATATAGCGCCTGATCAGTCTTCGAGACATCTCAAAGCGCTTCACAGAATATACTGTAAAGTGAACTGACTGTCTATTTTGTGAGCGAAACGTGGCAGCCAATTGCACACGGCAGGGAATTTATTTTATTCCGAAGGAGTTATTACCCCCGGAAAAGCAAACCCCCAATCGACTAACAACCGGCTTCCTTATAATCAAGGAATACGTGAACACTCAAAGCACACACATCATGTACATACCTAACTTCCGCGTGCTGCTTCCCGGGTAAGAGAAGGACCGGACTGGCATTGGCTCCTGGTGATGAACGCTGTAATGCTTTCTCAGGTCCCAGACCTTGATAACACTAGAGGACAGAGAGGAAATGTTTTTGAGCAAGAAACACAAGCGCACAGGAGAGCCAAACCTCAGGCTTTAACGGAATCGTAAGGCGATTGGCTTCTGGGGCAGAATTTCCTCCCTGTGGAAAACAACGCCAACAACAAATTGGATTTGTATAGCGCCTTTCACGTGGAGAGGACGTCCCAAGGAGCTGAAAGAAGTAATAATGCCATCCCTTTGTCTTGACACCTGCCACTTGCTAGCATTTGGCTCAGAATCAATTCCCAGGTCACTAAAAGGAAATCAATACCTCTTAGCTCCATCTCTATTTGTTTTTCTTTATGTAACAACTGACTGAGAGATTTCCAAGCCACTATTTACCAGAAGAACGTCTCGGCTTTATTTATTTATTTGTTTATTTATTTGTTTTTTTTCAAGCAAACTGTGAAACCGTGGCACACACAGGCCACCAATGGTAAAACACATCGACTGCGAGCTACACCTACCCATCCACAGCCCCGGCGGAGATCAGAGTGTTCTCATCTTGAAAAAGCACGACAGTCACACTCTGCTGGAAATCCTGTGGACAGAACAAAAAGTGACTTTAGCGCATGACCAGTGCTGACGTGGTCAGACAAACTTCACGGGAGGAAGGGGGGGGGGAGGGAGGGAGGGAGGGGAGAGGGGTTAATGATGCAAAGCGGGACATGGGGTCTCTGGGAGAATAGGACATACCACTGAAGGAGCAAGACCCCGGGCAGTTTGTCGTTTCTTCTTCTGCTTCGGAGACGTTTGCTTGGCCAGAGCATTGTGAGCCCCGGTTATCTGCTTCACCTGTCTATAAAAGCCATCTACACGGGACAACAAACAAAAACAAGCCCGTCAACGACTAGAATATCTTCTGTATTCAAACACACGAGTCTCGACAGACAGAGAAACTTCCAGACATTGAAAACGCAACGAGCGCTTGAACTCGAGATGAATGGAGCAAAATGTTTCATGATGGGGATGGATCCCTGATCAAAGGGCAACATGAAGGAGGGTGGGGGGCGAGTAGGGAAATGTAAGGACTTTGACCAATGCCTTCAAACAAATGGGCTTTTACGATGATTTAAAGGCAAGTAGATATGTGATCCAGAATTCTCACATCGCTACCCTCGGCCCCAAATCATTTTTTTTTTAAAAAATCACCCTGCTTTGCTTGTTTGCCGTCAGCAGTCGGGCACATCAATGACTCGTTTCGAATCCCGTGAGCAGAAGATTCACTTGATCTCCTGCTTGAAAGGGTTCAAACAACTGCAACACCGCTACCGGAATTTTCAGCGCTGAAGAAAAGCCGGCGCTGGAAAGAGCCGGTGAATACAGGTATCTGCAATGTAATGACACTTAGCCAGATCTCTCTCTCTCTCTCTCCCCCCACCCACATTGATCCGGCTAGGAGCGTATACAATGCTGGTTCACTGCAGTTCAATCCTTTATAGAAGTAACGTCTTCGCAACTTACACAGACAGGGCTCTGGTGTCAAGACCAGAGAGTATTATAACAAATTTGTTTTGCACTCAGGTCACTACCTACTCCACGGCCCAGATCGATGGCCAATGCTTTTACTGAGCATTATCTTATCAGATTATCTTTCAATGGTGCTTTTCACCAACCCCCACCCCTCCCCCCCCCATTGGGACTGCAGTATAGGCCTTTACAAATGGTTCACGTAACTATGTGGAGTCCTGTAGCTCAGGAGTTAGAGCACTCGCTTTGCAAGTGCGAGACCTGAGTTCAATTCCAGGCAGAGAGCGAAACCTTGGGCAAGTTTCCTTACTCCACACAGAGCCTAATAATAATCCTCCAAAACCAAAAACAATAATAAATTGGTCATTTTCAATCTACGACTGTTTGCGGGACATTGCTGTGGGCAATTGGCTGCCGCGTTCGCCCACAAACATACAGTCAATTCACTTTACAGTGTGTTCTGTGAAGCGCTTTGAGACGTCGAGAAGACGTGAAAAGCGCTATATCAAATGCAAGGATTATTATTATTATATCTGGGGAAGCCATACCTTTCTTATTGCAGCGAGTATCCCAAACCATTATGTTGCCATCTCTCCCACCAGTGCAGAACACAGCTGTAAGGGGGTGGGTGGGTGGAAGAAGAGGGATACAATTAGTCATTGTAAGAAAAGCTTTACAAATGTAAGAAGAAAGAACAGACGCAACCGACTTCTTACCTTTCTCCCAATCCCCAAACGACACAGACTTGAGGCTGCATTGGTGTCCCTTAAAGGTACCAAGGAGTTCACTCCCGGTCACATCCCAGAGTTTTGCCGTCTGATCACCCGATGCTGTGACCTGGGAAAGAACGCAAAGAGCCTGATAGTTAGCGACCCTGCAGTCAACAACAACAACTTACAGTTATATAGCGCCCGTCACGTGGGATTCACCCGTCACAAACAGCTGCAGTAAGTTGCAAACTTCGCTCCTTCTTTGTCGACCCCCCCACCCCCCTCCCCGCGAAGGTGACTTACAAGTTTCGGCTCTCCGGGAACCCAAGCGACATCGAACACTGCATTGTTGTGGGCCGACCACTCTGAGAAAGAGAAATAATCCATTTTAAAGAACATAAGTCACCGGCCGCCACCTTACTCCACACGCCTCTGTTTATCAAGTAGGAACCCAGTCATTAGTCGATTGACAGGTTGTTTTCCGAGGGTAATAATACCTTCCAAAAAAAATAACTTGGTCACTCAATCCACGATCGTTTGTGGGACGCTGCTGTGCGCAATTGGTTGCTGCGTTTCGCCCACAGAATACACAGTCAATTCACTTTATAGTTTATCCTGTGAAGCGCTTTGAGACGTCTCAAAGACGTGATCAGGCGCTGTATCAAATGCAAGGATGATGATTATTATTATTGTAACAGGCCTCAGGCTGAACCTTTGGTACTTTGGGCAGCGGAAGTCAAAACAGAGCAGATAGATCCATTAAACCCCTTCCCATTTGGAAGTGAATAAGCAGGATTTCCAGCTTTAAAAGACAGGTGGAATACATTGGTTGATAACATTGCATGGAGCAGGTCAGAAAATGGGCACTTTTGGGTAGAATTCGGGGCTGCAGCCAATCGCCTGTACCAGTGAGATGAGCTGCGTATTCACTGATCCAAAGAACCTGCATTGCTTTCCTTAAAAAGAAACGAACCATTTTCGCTCATTGGCGCATTTGAATATCACGACGAGGGCGCCCACGAGCTACTTTTGCACGTAAAGAAAATACTCACCTCGCAAGGTTGGGTTCTCCCTGTTGCGGCTCTCCGTTTCGTAGAGCTTGACCACCCCTTCTTCGTTCACCACGGCAAGAACTCGATGGAAGCCGTTTGCTGAGAAGTGAACTTGACAAATCAGTCATTATGCCCAAATACACGTTAGGTTTTCCAATCTTTAAAATCAAGAGAGCCAGCGAGAGACCGGCCAAAGTACTCAACCTCGTACTCAAATAACTCAGTTTGACAGCCTCTGGGTCAGAAGGTTAAGAGTTCCAGCCACAAACCGGCATTGGAACCCCATAATCATGCCTTACACCCCAGGGCAGAAACGAGAGGAGTCGTCCTTTAAATGTGAAAGCCACACTATCGAAGTCTTGTCTGGTTATCCCGGTGCTGAAGGGCCCACTTTCAAAGCGGCAACGCATTTTCCCTGTGTCCTGGCCAACAGTGGGAAATCTACCTTGAGGTAGAGGCAACCTTGGACGCGTGTACGCAGGCAAACAAGTCAATCAGCAGTTAATCATAGGTCAGGTGTTGGGGCTTAAACAATCTGCTGACCAGTGGAAACTGGGTGCTTTTGTTTTGAGTCCTATATAAAGGAGAAGACTTGCCAGAGCCTCACGTGAGCAGAGAGCCCAGCAGCGCGAGGAGGGAAGCTGAGTGAAGTGGGGCCGAGTGAGAATTCCGTTAAGGAATTCAGTGCAGAGAAGGAAAGAGGCGCATAATTACAAATATAAGTCACATTAAAATAATAATAATAATAAAACAGGACTGGGAATATCTTTTGTGTGCCCTGGACGGACACGTGTGTAGGAGGTGCTTCCGGCTGCTCGAGCTTGAGCTCAGGGTCTCTGAGCTCGAGGAGAGGCAGGAGTCACTACACAGCATGCGGGCGGCTGAAAATTCATGGATCGAACGTTTCAGGACCCCACGGTTGCGTCCAGGATGCACGGCCATTAGCCTGCAAAATACGGGGGTCACCACACTCCACGGTAAAATCCCCCGCGAAGCGCTTCGAAGCGACGCCGAGGAAAGCCATCAGGTTTTACACCGGGAAAGAAATGCAACGATTCCTACAATCGTACACCGGGGGGGGAAAAAAAACGAAAAGCACTTGGCAAGAACCTTTTGTGGCTTCTGTGTATTCCGTGCAGCGGTCGCACTAGATACAACAACAAGAAGATTCCATTTATAAAGCGCCTTTCACGTCAGGAGGACGTCCCAAGGCGCTGCACAGTTGGGTCAGGACCCGAGCATTGGGGGGAAATGGTCAGGGTGAGGGGATAGAAGGCAGGTGGATTTACCTGTAGACCACAAGCAGCCGAAAGGAGGTACCGGCTCACCCAAGTCACCACTCGAAGTGTGCTCGTCTTGTCGAATACACCGGTAGTGCAGCAGCAAACTCTCCAAAGGGTAGCTGTGAGGCTCTGGTGAGAGAAGGCTCAAGTTACACTAACGCTGAAGAGACGCAAATGGGAAAAAAAAACACACACACCAGCGAATAACGTGACTTGACTGAGTGCCCATTTGGGAGCAGGGCTATGACAAAGGACCGCACAAAACATCCCACAAGGTCGGAGCGAGACACGGAGGCTACATTCCTACACAACACCGGTACCCGAAGAGATTTCACTGCAGATTATTGCACTTTTAACCCTAATTTCACGACGTCGCAAATCATCAAACGATTAAGCCATTGGCGCATAAGGAGCAATCATAATGATTTCATCTGGTTACAAGGAGTACTGTGTGGAGCTATAGAAAGGGACAAAAAAAAACTCCTTTGAACAGGATAAAAAGGCTGACATGAGGGGGGGGGGAAAAAACACTAATTATAAACGTGTAAAGGCTCATTTTCAGCCATGACCATTGATCTGACTGTTGTAGGAATAACACAAACTATTGCTTTCCAGTTGGGGGGAAAAAATCCACTCACTCCCACCACACTGACCTTATTTAATAACTAACGTGTGTTATTTTGGGTCTTTTTTTTTTAAAAAAAAGATTAGATCGGCGCAGATTGGGAGAGAAAAGCTGCAGTAGAAATAACCCGAACAGACCGTGTGGTCACCAAATGGGGGAAGGGGTGAGAGGACCCAACATCGATTTGAAAACAAAAATAAAAACCTACTCGTTTGGCTTATGCTGGAGACGTAAAGAGTAAATAAAAATCTGTAGTATTTTCTTAAAAAAAAACACAAATTGGGATTGGGTTTTAAACCCAGGTTTGTGCACAGCACAGGGCAGGATTTGCAATGGGAAGTCCTGGCTCTCCCCTCGTCCCCATTGACCAGAAAAGAAAGCAAAGCCTTTTTTACAATGACACGTTTCCTCGTCCAGTTGGGAATTTACACCGAAGCTTTTTTCCACGTCCACTTAGTCACCCCCCACCCACCCACCACCCCCCACCCCCCCCCCACCACCACCACCACCACCCCCCGCACTGAGCATATACACGGCTTTGCACCTAAGCACATAATAAAGTTTATCAACAACGTTTGTGTTAAACATACACACACCAGCCCTGGGGGGGGCACACACACACACACCAGCCCTGGGGGGGGGGCACACACACACACACCAGCCCTGGGGGGGGGGGCACACACACACACCAGCCCTGGGGGGGGGGCACACACACACACACCAGCCCTGGGGGGGGGGCACACACACACACCAGCCCTGGGGGGGGGGGGCACACACACCAGCCCTGGGGGGGGGGCACACACACACACACCAGCCCTGGGGGGGGCACACACACACACACCAGCCCTGGGGGGCACACACACCACACCACCCTGGGGGGGGCACACACACACACCAGCCCTGGGGGGGCACACACACACACACACACCAGCCCTGGGGGGGGGCCACACACACACACACCAGCCCTGGGGGGGGCACACACACCAGCCCTGGGGGGGGCACACACACACACACCAGCCCTGGGGGGGGCACACACACACACACACCAGCCCTGGGGGGGGGCACACACACACACCAGCCCTGGGGGGGGCACACACACACACCAGCCCTGGGGGGGGGCACACACACACCAGCCCTGGGGGGGGGGGCACACACACACACACCAGCCCTGGGGGGGGGGGCACACACACACACACCAGCCCTGGGGGGGGGGGCACACACACACACCAGCCCTGGGGGGGCACACACACACACCAGCCCTGGGGGGGCACACACACACACACCAGCCTGGGGGGGGGGCACACACACACACACCAGCCCTGGGGGGGGGCACACACACACACACCAGCCCTGGGGGGGGCACACACACACACACCAGCCCTGGGGGGGGCACACACACACAGCCCTGGGGGGGGCCACACACACCAGCCCTGGGGGGGGGCCACACACACCACACCAGCCCTGGGGGGGGGGCACACACCACACCAGCCCTGGGGGGGGGCACACACACACCAGCCCTGGGGGGGGCACACACACACCAGCCCTGGGGGGGGGCACACACACACACACCAGCCCTGGGGGGGGCACACACACACACCAGCCCTGGGGGGGGGCACACACACACACCAGCCCTGGGGGGGGGACACACACACACACCAGCCCTGGGGGGGGGGCACACACACACACCACCAGCCCTGGGGGGGGGCACACACACACCAGCCCTGGGGGGGGGCACACACACACACCAGCCCTGGGGGGGGGGCACACACACACCAGCCCTGGGGGGGGGCACACACACACACACCAGCCCTGGGGGGGGGCACACACACACACACACCAGCCCTGGGGGGGGGCACACACACACACACACCAGCCCTGGGGGGGCACACACACACACACCAGCCCTGGGGGGGCACACACACACACACACCAGCCCTGGGGGGGGGCACACACACACACACACCAGCCCTGGGGGGGGGCACACACACCAACACCACACACACAACCAGCCCTGGGGGGGGCACACACACACACACCAGCCCTGGGGGGGGGGGGGGGGCACACACACCAGCCCGGGGGGGCACACACACACACACCAGCCCTGGGGGGGGCACACACACACACACCAGCCCTGGGGGGGGGGCACACACACCAGCCCTGGGGGGGGGGGCACACACACCAGCCCTGGGGGGGGGCACACACACACACACGCGGCCCTCACCCCGCGCTGAGCCGCGGACCCTCCTGCGGAGCACAGAGCGGAACAGCATCTTCTCCGCCTTTTTTTCCCCCTCTCCAGACCCCGACCCTCAGGGCACTGTGTGTGTGTGTGTGTGGCGGGAGCGGGAGCGCGCCAAACCAATTCCCCGCCAAAAGCGCGTCACGCGCTCTGATTGGCCCACCGGCCGCCGCCACCCGCCACCCGCCGGCCACGCTTCCGCTTCCGGTCTCCGCCCCCTCCTCCCCCCCCACCACCACACGCCGCCGCCGTTGCCACGACGACGACGCCCACCCACTTCCGGTTGGGCCCTGAGCGCCCGAGTGCAGGTGTTTTTTTCTCGGGGGGTGTGAATTACACCGCTCCCCCCTTCCTCTCTCCCTCGGGTTGTGGGTGAGCGATAGGGGGAAGAGTTAGTGGAGGGGTTTACACCCTGTGGGGTCGGGGGGGGTTCGGCAGAGGTAGGGTCGGGGAGAAGCGGCGGGTCGGGGCCTCGGGGGGGGGCCTCTGGCGGCGGCCATGGCCCTGTCCGCGGCGCGGCCGTTCCTGGCCGAAGGCGGTTACGGGGAGCAGGAGATGGACGCCAATTCCGCTCTGATGGAGCTGGACAAAGGTTAGAGAGCTGTGGGGGGGCCGCGCGGGCGGTGTTACAGGGACAGGAGTGGGGGGGGCTCTGTGTGTGGGTGGGGGGGCTCTGTGTGTGTGTGTGGGTGGGGGGGGGTCTGTGTGTGGGTGGGGGGGGTTGTGTGTGGTGGGGGGGCTCTGTGGGTGGGGGGGGCTCTGTGTGGGGGGGGGGGGCTCTGTGTGGGGGGGGCTCTGTGGGTGGGGGGGGGCTCTGTGTGTGGGTGGGGGGGGCTCTGTGGGTGGGGGGGGGCTCTGTGGGTGGGGGGGGCTCTGTGGGGGGGGGGTCCTGGCCTGTGTGTGTGCGTGTGTGTAGATGCTGTCCGGCGTGAAGGGTGTTATATAAATCCAAGTTGTTGCTGTTTCTGTGTGTGTGTGTGTGTGTGTGTGTGGGGGGGGTGGGGGTGGCGGCTCTGTGTGGGGGCAACTCAATACTATTGTCTGTGAGGCAGAAGATTGTGGGTTCGAGCCCCACGTCGGGACTTGGGACTCGCCGTCTCAACTGACGCTCCAGTACAGCCGCTGGGATTGCGCTGTATTATCGGAGGTGCCTTCATTCAAATGAGATGCCCAACCAAGGCCCCGGCTGCCTGTTCAGATAATAGTATTATTAATAATAATAATAACAATGTTTGCGTTTGATATAGCGCCTTATCACATTGTTGGGACGTCTCAAAGCACTTCACAATCAAGTGGACTGATTGTGTATTTTGCGGCCAAAGCGTTTTGGACATAAACGATCCCACGCCACGGTTCAAAAAGAGGAGGAGGAGTTTCTTCCAGTGTCCTGGTCCAACAATTCCTCAAATAAAAATTAGTCGTTCACTTGGTGGCTGTTTGTGAATCATTGCTGTGCGCACGTTGCTGTTGTATTCACCTACAAAACACAGTCATTACTACGTACAGTAAGTGCACTGTGAAGCGCTTTGAGTCATCCCTCCCTCCAACCTGTAAGGGTTTGATAATAATAAATAATATTTACATTTTCGTATGTTGCCTTCGCATATTGTCAAACATCTCAAAATGTTTCACACGATTTTACAGTAAACAAACAAGTGCAGCAATGAGGTAATCATTTCAAAGTTCCCGAGAACTTTGTATCTTTAATATCAATAACTTTTGAAACAATAAGAATAACTGACAGTAATGTTTGGACTTGCCATCCAAGTCAGGAAGATGTCTCACAAGCGCTTCACAAGATTCACTGTGAGACGTAGTGACTATTATTTGGAAGGAGTGGGAGTTGGAGTAGACCAGCACTACCCGTGGGGCCATTTCAATTGTCTGAGCTCTCCCAAATTCAGCTCTACGTTTGGTGGTTAATCACCGCTGTAGTTGCAGTGGTGTGGTGTCAAACACGCTATAACAGAGCGATAATATTCCTTGCATCTGGTGTTGTTTCTTATAATGTTGAACTATCTCATAGCCCTTCAGAGGTAAATGCTATCAAGTTTGACTACTTTTGTAAGTAGACGCAGCAGCCAATTTACTGATTTAAATGTTAACTAAACAAAATGTAAGCGTTGTGTTTGTTGTCTGCCTTTCTCCATAGGATTAAGGTCAGGCAAACTCGGCGAGCAGTGCGAAGCAGTTGTTCGTTTCCCGAGGCTGTTCCAAAAGTACCCATTCCCAATCCTTATCAACTCGGCTTTTCTCAAACTTGCGGATATCTTCCGAGTTGGGTAAGACTTACAGTCGCTAAAGAGAAACACTTTTTTCAAAAAAAAATTCAAAATCAGTGTTTGTTTCGCAGTCTACTTCCTGCTATGAGATGTAAATGCGCGTCTCACAGCAGGACACAGCGCATTTACTGTCTGTGCACAAGAACAGACGGGATCTAGCTCCTCGCAGGGTATTTTATCTGGAACCCATTAATTGGAAGCGCAGAAAGGATCGGGGAAAAAAAAATCCTGCTGTGGCTTTTATGAACTTCACTGGTGTCTTTCAGAAATAATTTCCTACGGTTGTGCGTGCTGAAAGTGACTCAGCAGAGTGAAAAACATTTGGAGAAAATTTTGAATGTCGACGAGTTTGTGAAACGGATCTTCTCGGTGATTCACAGCAACGACCCAGTGGCCAGAGCCATCACTCTGCGGTAAGTCAAATCCTCGAGGAGGGTCTTTACAATCACCGAAGGATGCTTTGCATTTGCAGCCAGAATTACTATTTGTTTTGAAATGCAGGTAAATGGCTTAAATAAAACATTTGTCGCAAAGTTGTTGTGTGAAATAAAATATTTTGAATTGAACCATTGTCCAGTGTTTTGGTTTTTATTTCACTTAAGTGTTTCCATATACTTTCATATTTTTTAATGCAAGTTGTGCACAATTATAAGCATTATATTTCTGCTTCTATTTCGAAGTAATACAATGTAGAGTAAGCGATTAATTAGCCAAACATTCTACTTTTCTCTTTATGTTGTTTCTTCATTTATCATCACCTTCCTTACGTGAAAGGCGCTATATAAATGCAATTTGTTATTTTTGTGAATTGTCCCACTGAAATCTAATTTCTGGGCCAGATAACAGTTTTAATAAAGCCAAATAAACTGTTTTATTACTTGTTCTGAACTTTCTGGTTATATAACTGCTTTGTTAATCAGTGCAAAGCAAGGTGGCTGTTAGTTGTTGCTAATTATTGTGAAAATGATTTGAGTAAATACTGATCACTGGATTCTGTTCTTTTTCAGAATGCTGGGAAGTATGGCTTCAATTATCCCCGACAGGAAGAATGCACATCATAGCATTCGCCAGAGTTTAGATTCCCATGATAATATTGAGGTAGAAGCTGCTATTTTTGCTGCTGCCCATTTCTCCGCACAGTCCAAGTAAGTACTGCCAAACCTTTATTAACATCTGCTATCAAGAACCTGCCTGAACATAATTACGTGAGCTGCAAGTTAGTTATTCCAGCTGATTGAATACGTATTCATTTGTGTCTGAATAAATATTTTATTGGAAATCTATTCAGCAGAGTAACTGAATGTGTAAATTCATTGGCTTTTTTCCTGAATGGTGAATTTGATTCTAAGGTATTTGCTATAGAATTTTACATTGAATAATGCAAGAAAATGGGTAAACTAAATGCTCCAGTAACAATCGCTAAGAATCTGAAGATCATTTTCTTCTTGAATCATCTTTTTGAATTGTAAAGTATGTGTTTGTACTTATAGCTTGCTTATTTCTCTTCTCCGCCCAGAGATTTTGCTGCAGGAATTTGTAACAAAATTGCTGAGATGATTGAAGGTAAGTGTGTTGTTCTAAAATCAACTTTTAGTATAAATAATGCATCACTTACATGTTTGTTACTTACAAGAAACCTGAAATTCTGAGAGAATAAAATATCCTGTTTTCAATTTACGCTGAGATTCCTTGATTGAATTTTCCTACAGGTAGACCTAGAACTGCTCTCGATCTGGTATTTTGAATTGTCGTGAAGCCAGTGAGGGTTTAATCCACAATATTCTGAAATTATAGTCTTTCAGTGAAAACGCGAAGGAAAAAAACTTCAGGTCTATTAAAGCTTGGAATGCTACAGACCTAATTGTCTTAGAGCACGATTTCTGTCAGGGTCACTCAGCGGGTTAATATTAATATTTGAGTAACAAAGCTGCTCCTGGTATAATTGCCAAGCGCCTTGGGTCATTCTTCCGACGTGAAAGGCTCTATGTAAGTGTGTATTTGTGATTTAAGTGTTATATTTGTTTTGATAAACAGCCGATAATGCGCAAGGCGAATCAGCCCACAGGAATTGGAATCCCTAGTCTTGCGAGGGCCAATGTTAATTATTTTGAAACTCTGCTCTCCAGGTCTGGCCACACCGGTAGATCTGAAGTTACAGCTGATTCCCATCCTGCAGCACATGCACCACAACGCCACCCTCGCCTCCACTACCCGGCTCCTCCTCCAGCAGCTGGTGACATCTTACCCTTCCACCAAGATGGCGATAGTCACCCTGCACACCTTCACACAGCTAGCTGCATCTTCACTGATTGATATCCCAAAGCAAGTAGGTCTGGTTCTTATTAGTCGATTGGCAGATTACATTTCTGGGGGTAATAATCCCTTCATATATATATATATATATAATTTGGTCACTCAATCCACGGCTGTTTGTGGGGACGCTGCTGTGCAAAATTGGCTGAAGCATTTCGCCCACAAAATATACAGACAATTCACTTTGCTTTGAGACGTCTCAAAGACCTAATAAGGCGCTATATCAAATGCAAGGTTTATTATTATAATCATTTGTGAAGGGACTAAAGCCTAGTCCACATACCTGAACATTCATATTAAGTACAACGTACAGCCTTTTTTGAAGGCATTTTGCATTCTAATATTCTACCTGTGTGTTGAGCAGATTCAGCTTTTGCTGCAGTATTTGAAAGAAGATCCAAGAAAAGCTGTGAAGAGGCTCGCCCTTGAGGATCTGAAGTTGTTGGCTAATAAAACGCCACATATGTGGACCCGAGAAAACATTCAGGTACCTGCAGATCATTTCTGAGGAATGGTCTTATAAGGAACAAGTTAAACAAAAATCAGCGTTAATATTACTGAACCTAAATATCACCTCTCTTGGTCGCTTACCCACTGACCTTTAGTTCAAAACACGTTCTGTTATGATGGGGTAAGAAAATAAGCTTTAAAAAGAATTCTTAGAGATTGTGTTTGATAAGTATATTTGTATTAACGAAGCTTTAATTTTGGTAATAGTATTATTTGATAATATTTGTTTTTATATATATATATATTTTACATATATAATATATGTAAATATACCTTCCCCTCCCCCAAATACTGTCTTGGTTTATTAAACTGACAAGATATCCAGTTTGTTTTTCCTCCTTGCCATGTTTCTGGTTGCCATTAAGGTGTGTGTTTGATGATATTGCTGGAACTGCGTTTATAGGGCTGTGTTTTAAAAATTAGTTCCGTTGAGGGGACAGATCATGTTTTGAGCAAGCATTTTTCTATTAACTCGCTGATGATATTACCCGTAATACTAACCTGCCATTTTGTCCCTCCGTAGGCATTGTGTGAATGTGCCCTTCAAACCCCCTATGACGGCCTGAAATTGGGGACACTCTCTGTCCTATCCACACTATCGGGTACCATCGCTATAAAACAGTACTACTATAATTCACAAGGTAAGACTAATGGATATTGGCCACAGAGTTCATGTTGAGTAGTGTTGGGATATCAAACTCTTATACTCTTGTAAGACCAGAGTCTTTGATGCTGCGTTGCCTAATTGTAGCATTGATGTTTCTCTGTTGTAGCACTAAAGATTTCAAAACACATGGGCATCAAAGTCTGGTTTTCTTCGCGTAACAAATGTATCTAATGGAAAAATATTTTTGAACCCAAATCTTTGCACTGTTTTGACCTAGTTTGTTTGTACCGATTCATTTTGTAAAACATTTTAGCAAAGGCAACATTTGAAACAGACAGTCTTTTTTTAAAAAAAAGGTAGGTGCTCAGTCCTGCTCTCATCTGCCAACCCACTTTGAATTACTTGTGCGCATCTCAGAAAGGGTTGTATGCAGTGGCCGTCGTCTGCTTAGAGCTTTTGGTAAATGGCAGCTTCAGGGCAAAGCACCCACTTTGAGCGATTTCCTCGTGGGAGCCCTGCTGCCTGCTGATAAAGCATCATTGTGGTTGGATAATCCACTTCATTTATAAAATGCACATCAAATAGCAGTAGAACAAATCTGTTTATGGGCGAGGAGGGCGGAGAACGATTCTGAAATTAAACTCAATGATCTCTGACTGCTTATGATCCTCTTTGGTGTACACGCCTCCTGATTTGACAGCCTAATCTGCACTCGCTGTGACTGACTGCTGCTGATGCCTGTGTTTCTCTGTATTTTAATAGGAAGTGCTGCAGCTCCAGTGCAACCTACTGATCTGATGAAGCTCGCACAAGAGTGCTGTTACCATAGTAATGGTGCTATTGCAGCCCATGGGGTCACGGTTTTAACAAATGTCGTAGCTTCCTGTTTGGAGAAAGGTAATGTTGAAGAAAACAAATGTCGGGGTTTGTGTTTGTACGGATCCGTTGCAAATGCTTTCCCAAGCCAGCCGTAGACTATATAAATGTTATGCATTTTCTCAAAGCTAATAAAGCACTCCTTTAAAAAGGAAATATTGTCCCCCTTTATAGGCTTATGATTAAAAAGTACTATTGAGGGAGTTTGATACACAACGTTGGTAGATGCAGACATATCCACCACCTGCCTCAATAATTATAAGCCATGTGTCTGTGACTCATTGACACTCTAAAATGTTGGAATAATTATAAATCAGTGTTTTCTTATCGATGTGTGCTTAATCAATAAGAACGCGTTCTCCAGTTTCTTCACTGACCTACTTTTTAAAATGCATTATTTAACTCACGTCAATGGTTCACAGAATTAAAATATAAACTAGTCCCATCAAAAATGATTCAAATCTACTTTTCTCTCTGCTTTGCTTATTTCTGATGACTGTTTCCAGTGCAGAAAGCTAACTTAATTCCCACAGGTAAATAATGTTTGCCAATATCCCGTACTCTGGTATAAATGGGGATTGATGGGATGAATGCTAACTTTCTCCTTTGCCTCATGTGAAATTATTTTGGAGCAATCAAAGTCTGTTTATCGGTGGGTATGGGCTCACAGCACCAAATTGTCACCAAACAAAACAGTCATCACTCAATCAGGACACAAAGATAGCTGGTGTGGGAAGTGGAATATTCCCACTGGTGCAATTTGTTTTGCTTTCCTGGAGATGACTCATCGTAATGAGATAGTTTCATTTTGCATGTGGTAGGGCCTGACCTAAAATTCCAAGGTCTCAAAATGGAAAATTGGTGTATTTCTGCAGCGATGACATCCCTCACCTTAATAAACAGAATAATTTATCGAATAACATAAATACTCAACCTGGAGGGTTAGAATTAATCACCATCTTTGCCGTAATTTCAATGCTTGTCATTCCATCTTTCTATAAGCTGCTTTTGCTGAGACACTGATTAATGATGTTTGTTGCAAAGCTGTGTGTTTGCTTTCCTCATTGCTTGGTAAGGTTAATTTCTGTTGAGTATGGTGTCTAGATTTTTCACAGAAAGACAAAGCCAATATTAAATTAAAAGCTGCAATGTGTCCTAATGATATGAAATCCATTTCATATATAGGTATCAGCAAAAAGCCGGTGTGTTTTGCTATAAAAGCCCTGTACACAAGGCCTATCCAATACTTTTTGACTGCTACCTTTGAGCATAAACCCTGGTCATCTCTTTGGAGATAACACTGCTTCCCCTCATCGCTGACTGGAGAAAACCCACCGCAGAAGTTTTATCTAATGGACAGATATTTGTCACTGGTAATTATTTGATTTTTTTCGATGCAGATCTCTCAGCTTTGGAACAAGATGCAGTTTGTGCATTGGAGTCTATTCTGGTTCTTTGCAGCCAGGATAGTAGTAAAGAAGCACAGAATGTTTTAAAGGTAAGGATTAAAATTCACTTCCGTGCAAGCAAAGTGCCCCTGGAGAGGGGCGGGCAGGTGCTCCTGCCTCAGTCCATATCGCTGCTTTGCCCCCAGCAAGTTAACTGCTGCTTTCAGTTTGACAGACAAAAAAATCAGTTTCATTTCAATTCCTTGCATTTTCTCTTGTAAGAACAGCATTTCGAATGAACAGTTTTGTAATGAAGCATCCTGGGGCGAGGCATAGTGCGCACGCGTTTGAGTATGTGTGAGAGAGATCTTGCTGGCATAAATGACCACAGCATTTGAACAAACCATTTAAACTGTCCTGGTGATGCACCTTAGGTGTACCTGAATTGAAAGCCCTTGGGAAATAAGAGTCGGGCTAGTGCAGATAGTTAATAGACTACATCCTGCGCAGAACTGCGCAAAAATAAATAAATTAGAGCTACCACAATCACGCAGTGAAGATGAGCTGGTTTGATCTGGCGTCCGCGTACGTTGTGCCCATTTTTCTGATTTTTGTTCTCTTACACAGACAGCGTTCACTTGTATGGTGAAGCTGGTGCGTTGTCGCTCCCACCTGAGCCAGTCAGTGGTAGAGTCGTTACTGTCTCAGCTACACACCGCGCAGGATGCTGCCAGGATACCCATGTGCCATTGCCTCGCAGCTATCGCCGTGCAGCTGCCCGTCTTGGGAGAAGGAATGCTCGGAGAGCTGATGGAGCTGTATCAGAAGATTGGATCCTCGTCGACAGACAAGCAGCAAGAACTTCTGGTAAAACACCTCCAGGCACATTTTCTGAAATGAATGGCCAGATGCAGATTATTCCCACTGTGTCTGTGTCTCTCCTCTCTCTCTGTGGCCACTGACTCCTTGTTAACCACACTCTGAATCTGAACAGGTACACCTGCACCTTTTTTTGTTCCCCCCCCAGGAAGGCTCCTCCACAATATATATGTATATGTAAATATATGTATATATATATATTTGGCAATGGTTTACTTTGGAGACAATTGATACACACAGACAGAAAGACACAGACACACACACACAGACACACACAAAGACACACACACACAGACACACAGACACAGATATACACACACACAAAGACACACACACACACAGACACACACACACACACAGACACACACACACAGACACAGATATACACACA